GGGGGGGGGGGGGGGGGCTACGGACGGGTTGCTCCATCCTGGGCGGCACAAACCTTAGCTGCGCCTTTGCAGTTCCCCTACCTCGTGCTTGTAACGACAGGAATTTCTGTGCCTTGTCTCCGTCGACCTGGACGATACATTTAAACCATTGCTCACAGCTCCCGTGCACTTGAAAACATGTTCGAGTGCATTACTATTATTATTATTAGTATCATATGCATGTACTTAGTGATAATGTATTGATTTTAAATAATTTTTTTATTGTACACAGACAACACATGTCAGTATTGGTATCCCTATGTTGAAAGCGTTCACGCGAAGACTTTTGACTCACTGTACACTATACACGCAGCCGACCTTTTAACGTACACAATCTTTATTTACATGAATTTTTTTTTTTTTATTTTTGAATTGGCGACCAGGCCAGATCTAGTCAATCGCAGCATTTACTTTTATTGTGTCTATGACGAAAAATATCGCTAGCTTCAATTAGCTGACGGCTTTTGCCTCGGCTGTGTTCACTGATGGGTTACGGCGACCCACTCGATCTCGGTTGATAGGCGACGTCAAAACCTCGGTCGATATGCGTCTCAATATTTTGTTCCTGAATAAAATTGTGACAGGGATGGGTCTGTCTAAGAATGAATGATTTGCGGTGGAATAAGTTTATCGAATAACGTCATGGTCATGATGATCTATATGTGTTTCGTGTCTAACGTAGGTTGCTATAGCGACCGGCTGATTCATCTTATATGTGACCATGTGTTTTGTATCCGAAAATAAGGCTAGGGTAAACCCCCCCCACCCCTAAGTTCATATGTTACAGTGTTGTTTTTTGTTTTATTTTCCCAGTAAGTTTATGGTGACCCAGAGGTGCTTATGTTACACTGCATGCATTTTCCCCCCCGTCTGCACAATGTCGTGGTAGCTCATGAGTCAGATGTGGCTAGCTCTATATTTTAATTATTTAAAAAAAAAATTAAAAATTGTTGATTTAGGGCAATCCATTAGTTGAAATCCATATTGGGGAGGGGGTGGGATGGGGTGGGGGGAGAGAGGAGTGGTGGAGGTACAAAGTCTCCATTCCCCCCCCCCCCCCATTATTACATTCCCCTCTGTAGGTAGCATTAAGTCTCAGAAACCCAAGAACACCTTTACTGGTCACGTGTTAGGATTTGCCTTACATTCAATACTCTTGTCCGCTGATGTTTTGTTTAGAATATTTTTAACAATTTTTTTTTTGGTTGACTTCTCGAGCTACCTAGACATATCAAGTGATGACAGAAAAAATGATTTAGAAAACAAAGAGTGGAGCAAGATGTGCTGAAGCTTGTAAAAAAAACAAAAACAACTACAGACCAATTAAAATGACGTTTCGGCTAAGTGCCTTCTTCAGCAGACAATACAAAATAGGAATTAAAAATTATTTGGAACTGAAAAACTCGAGTGTCCCCAGAAACTTATACATCCATAATTCTGGGGACGCTCAATCCCTGATATAGAAATTGCAATTCATGACGTAGAAATGTCAATCCATGACCTAGAAATGATAATCCATGACGTAGAAATGACAATCCGTGACACAGAAATGACACTCCATGACATAGACATGACACTCCAATGACGTAGACATGACACTCCATGATATAGACATGACACTCCATGACATAGACATGACACTCCAATGACGTAGACATGACACTCCATGACGTAGACATGACACTCCATGACGTAGACATGACACTCCATGACGTAGACATGACAATCCATGACGTAGAAATAAATGATGTGTGTGACAGCACCGTTAGCGTGTCTAGGATTTCTCACTGCGGGAATTTCATACTTCGCTCCCCCCCCCCCCTTTTTTTTTTTTTTTTCTTTTTTTTTTTTTCCTTTTCCACCTTGGGACTTTAAATAGCAAATTTAAAATATGCACGGGGCAGGGAAAAAAAAAACACCAAACACCTGTGTTATAATTTAAATGACGGTAGAAAGATTTTTAAAATACTCTGAGGATAAAATAAAATTGTCTTCAAATTTGCGAATGTCATTCTACACTACTCCGGTTTCCTCCTACAAGGGTAATCAGTAAGTTTTTTGTTTTGTTTTTTCCCCTTCTGTTAAAGGTCGCTTCGCCTTTTCGCTTTATTATTATTTTTTTTTTTTTTTGTGAACCCCTTACTCCCCTGTTCATTTTAACGTTCTTTGCTGCAAAAATTTCTTTTTTAAGCGATTTTTAAAATTCGCATATTCACAAGGTGCACGGGCAGGTGCTTTTACACTTCGGGCGGACAGTCGGGGTAGGCAGATTTATTGAGATCGTTAGGTCTCGAGTTACCGTCCCTAGCAAGGGCAGCCTTGGCTTTTGTCGCTCGGCGGCGCTGGCTCCCTTCCCCCCCCCCCTCCCCTCGCGGTGACAAAGTTGCGTTTTTCGACACTCCGTTTCGTCAAATTGTAATAATTTATGGGGACGGACGTGGCGGAGATCCGGCGATGGGTAAGACGAGCCTCGGTGAAACCGAAAGGTCTGCAGCTACCATTCTGTGGTAGGTGTCCTCAGTGGGTCCCATAATTAGACCAGGTCTCATCATTAGACCAAGGCCTTTCATTTGACCAGGTCCGTTCATTAGACCAGGTCTCATCATTAGACCAAGGTCCTTCATTAGACCAGAGCCCTTAATTGTACCAGGTCCCATCATTAGAACAAGACCTTTCACTTGACCAAGGCCTTTCACTTGACCAAGGCCTTTCACTTGACCAATGCCTTTCACTTGACCAAGGCCTTTCACTTGACCAGGTCTCTATATTAGACCAGGTCCCTTTATTAGACCAGGTCCTTCTATTGACCAGGTCCTTTCATTTGGCCAAATAACTGAATTTTAGTTGTAATGCACATAAAAACCGTAAAAACATATGTGAAGACATTCACGGACCTCCAGACCTTCCAAAAAAGTACATTTCTTTTATTGTACATGCTCTGATCAATGCTACTATTCTAGATTGACACATTTTAATGGTCGCATTATCACGTATAAAAAGCATTACTTTTTGTCTAATAGTCATGATGAAATGTAACTGTACGTGTTGTTCTTGAGACACAAGATGTAATACTTTTTGAAAAGATTTTTTGTGTATACCTAATGTACAAAGCAGACGATCAACGACCTAAATGTACTTTGAACTCTCCAACTGCAATATTCCTAAAATTATTTAAATTAATTTTATGTTTAAAACTATTTTTTAAATTTACCATAAGGATTATTTGTATTTCAATCCTATACGCTTCATTCCAAATATCTACTTTTTAGAAAAATGCCCACTCATTACAAGGCTACCTTTTAGAAACATATTTTTTACTCATTGTAACATTCCAAGTGGGGTTAAAACCAAAAAAAAACTAACCAAACTTATTTTGTTCAACCGTTGAAACTTATATATCCCCATTGTCATTGACCGTTCTGAGTAGGAGACTCCACACTTCAGATAACCATTTGTCATTGACCGTTCTGAGTAGGAGACTCCACACTTCTGATAACCATTTGTCATTGACCGTTCTGAGTAGGAGACTCCACACTTCTGATAACCATTTGTCATTGACCGTTCTGAGTAGGAGACTCCACACTTCTGA